CGTAATGTTGTCACATTTTGATAGAAGCGGATTATGAAATCAAAACCATTGATATTGAAGCAAACGTCAATGTAATGTCTAGTTTCACATATACGATGAAATTTTTATAATTTGAAATTTGATTATGTTTTTTTGTGGGTTTAGGTTTGAAGAGGTCATTGATATGGGAAAAAAACAAGAAGAATGATAGTATATTTTTGCAGAATTATTCTATCAAAATGTATAAAACGGTTCTTAGCATAATATTCTTTTAGAATAGATTACTTTTTTCTAGATTTTGATGTTTTTTTTTTTTCTTTTTTAACCTTCTTAGTTTTAATCTTTAAGAAGAAATTTAATTTCTTAAAAACTCATATTTGTTTTTCAGAATTAATACGATTATTGTTTATAGTTGTATTTTTTAATAATTAATGTAATTATGTAAAGAAAAAATATGTTTCATATAAATTCGGTATTCTTTAGAAAAATTTGTTGTTGATAGCTTGTGTTATAGAATTATTAAAGCGTGTTAATTCTCAAAAATATTTTGAATAGAACCATATACTAGAAGAATAAAATCGAACATATCTTTACTTGTTTATGGTTAATATTTGTATCATTCCGATAGAATAAAATCAGATATAATTAAAAGTTACATTAAAATTCAAATTCAAATAATTAAAAAGTTAGAATTCAAAATTAAGATAATCAAATATCTTTCTGAAAATTTCCTTTTTAAAATTTATGTTATCTAATTGTAATGCAAATGTACAATCTTACTCTTCAATTAATTAAATGATATTATTTTATTTTTCTTTAATTTAATAACATAGATAAATCACTTTTTAAAAATAACTAAAACCATTGGTCCACATTCATCCTTACATTCACATAATAAATATCATCTACATTACTTAACTATATATATATATATATATATATATATATATATATATATATATATATATATATATATATATATATATATATATATATATACACACTAGCCGTTTATCCGCGCAAAGCGACGAGTGCGGATCAACAAAATGACATAAAAAATTTGTTAAACAAAATAACGAACAGATAGAGATTTCTTATACCTGGGCTAGGATTAAACGTAAAACATTTTTGAACTTATTCGATTTTAATAGAAAGAAAAACAAAGGAGGAGGTAGCGAGCATGAGAGAGAACCAAGGTTTTGCGGTCAATGGCAAGACATTCATGATAGACGAATGCTAAATCAATGTGCCTCTTCTAGTTTATATGAAATGTTTTATAACGTGTACATCGTATTATACCGATTCAAATGGATATGAAGAACACTTGGTCAAACTTTGACCCATTAAAAATTTTATCATCATCCTATTTGACTTTTTCATTATTATTGACAGATTCAATGTTTAACGATTCAATTGGATACGAGGAACACTTGGTCAAAGTTTGGTCAATTCAAAATCTTATCATCATCATCTTATTTGACTTTTTCATAAATGTTGGCCGGATAAGATTTAGTATTTACCAATTCAATTAGATATGAGGAACACTTGGTCAAACTTTGACCCATTCAAAATCTTATCATCATCTTATTTGACTTTTTCATAAATGTTGACCGGATAAGATTTAGTATTTACCGATTCAATTTGATATGAGGAACACTTGGTCAAACTTTAACCCATTCAAAATCTTATCATCATCATCTTATTTGACTTTTTCATATTTAACCAATTCAATTTAAAGATAAGCTTAGAAGACCTATTCAAAATCTGTCTTTGACCGGATAAGATTTATTATTCTCCGATACATAAAATTATTGTATATGATGCTTAAATGCTTGTACCTCTTAAAATTCAGCAAAATCTTGTATATGCTTTTTAAGATATATATATATATATATATATATATATATATATATATATATATATATATATATATATATATATATATATCGTTGGTTCGTTAAAAAAATATGCATATAAAAAATTTATTGCCTTCCTATCAAAAGTTTTATTTCTTATTTGATTTGGATTATATATATATATATATATATATATATATATATATATATATATAATCCAAATCAAATAAGAAATAAAACTTTTGGTAGGAAGGTAAGAAATTTTTTATATGCATATTTTTTTAACGAACCAACAAAATGAATCATTAGATAAATTAATGTTACAACCCGAACCTTTTTCCAATCAACAAAAGTCAAATACCGTTAAATAAAATTTTGAATTTTATTTGTTCCGTTAAATTCTTGTGTGTTAGAAAATCATTTAAATTATACAAATAAAATTTATATAAGAGTCGGAACCAAAAACACGTGAAAAACCGGGTTTTCCTTTAAAAATCAGCAAAAATCCCGTCAGCCCTATGTTTACGGCCGAAAACCCTTGGCCGGAAACCTCTGGCCGTAAACCCTGGGTGGTAAACCGTTTACAGCCGAGAACTTGATTCCGACTGCAAACTTAACCGGTATAAAGGTTTTTCCCGGAGAGATTCTTCATTTCTCATCTTTTTCACCCAAAAACTCTCTCAAATCTCTCTCAAGAACCTCCCAAGAATATTCAAATCATCAAGATCAAACCTTCAAATCTTCAATTTTTTCACCAAGAACAACCTTCAAATCTTCAAAGGCTGCAAACCGTTCACGGCCGCAAACAGTTCCCTACCGAAAACTCGTTTACGGCCGTAAACATTGTTCACGGTCGTAAACCCGAGATTCCAACCGAAAACAACCTTGGACCATGAACCTTGGCTGAAAACCTACTTTTCTCATTCCAAACAAGTCTCGGTTACATTTCTAAACAAAAAGCAAGTGTTTTCCAACACTATAATTAATGGTTTCACTAATTAAAAATAAAATACAATTATGTGCCTATTTATAATTAGGAAACCGTTAATACCATATACTACAACTTGTCATAACTAACAAATTTAGGTTAGGAAGTTGGCATTTGTACAAAAAAAAAAAAAAAAAACTGCTTGTGTAATCTTCTAACATTTCATTTAGTGAAATTCAAACGTCAATGATATTAAGTTCATACTTGCGTACATTGTCATTCAAGTCGAAGCAACCACGTAAAGACCCAAAAACTCGATCCAATAAACCAAATCCAATTATCTTTGGGCCTTAGCCCAAAAATCCTCAACCCAAAACCTTTATTGGACCAGTATTTCCTTATTGGGCCCTATTGGACCGATAACCTCACATTGGGCCCTAATGTGCCTAAAAACCCCATTTAATTGAGCCAACACCCTCCCTAAAACATTTTGGGTTGTCTTGTGGGCCAAGAACACTCTCCTAATTCGCCCAAATTGAATTATATATATATATATATATATATATATATATATATATATATATATATATATATATATATATATAATCAAGATCAAATAAGAAGGAAATTTTTGGTAGGAAGGTAAGAAGTTTTTTTTCTACATATTTTTTTCATGAACAAACAAAATGAATCATTAGATGATTCATTTGTAAGATGATTCACAAGAAAAAATTCTCAAAAAAACATCTTGATGATTCATTTATATAATGATTTTGTTGTTATTCACTAAAATTGTCATAAAAAATGAATTTTTTCTTAATTTACTTAAAAATGAATCATAAAGATGTTTTTTTGAGAATTTTTTCTTGTGAATCATCTTACAAATGAATCATCTAGTGATTCATTTTTTTTGTTCGTCAAAAAAATATGTAGAAAAAAAAAACTTCTTACTTTCCTACCAAAAAAATTTCTTACCGGATCTATATATTTATCTTGGCTAGACCTGGTAAACGTGTCATGTCGTGTCGGGTTCGTGTCGTGTCAAGACATTAAACGGGTTGAAAGGGTTTGATCCTAACCCGACCCGTTTAATTATCGTGTCGTGCCGTGTCAACCCGTTTATTTCCGTGTCGATTTCGTGTCGGGTTTCAGGTTAAGGTTTAGATCTTGTAATTATGTTGTGTCATGTCGGGTTGAAATATTTTAAAGGTTAGAAAGTAGGAGTTGTGGAGGCAAGAAGAAAAAAGTGAAGCACTAGAGTTATGAGATTGAATGACAAAATTTATAGTAAGTTTAGAAGGGAAAATGAAAAGAGTTAAAGTTGGGGAGGGAAAGGGATAGGTGGTAAGGATGACTAAAATTAAGTAACTTTGAAAATTTAAATATTACTTCTAAGTTTGGAATATTACTTCTAAGTTTGGTCCACTACAAGTCTATAATATATGATATATTTATAAAAATATGAAATTTATAATAAAGAATATATAATTAAACGGGTCATATTCGAGTCACCTTCGAGTTGAAAGTCTTGACCCTAATTCTACCCGTTTAATTATCGTGTCGTGTCGTGTCAACCCGTTTACATAAACGTGTCAAAATCTCTGACCCTAACCTGCTAATTTCATGTCGGGTTCGTATCGGGTTTTCGTATCGTGTCATTTTTTGTTAGATGTAATCTTGGCCGAGACATCCTCTTCATTTCTTCACTTCAAATTCCCTTCAAACACTCTCTTATGTTCCCTCTCAAGCACATTGATCTATCTCTTGCAATTTCTGTGATCTTAGTGTACTGATATAATGTACCAAAAAAAAACTTTAAAAACCAACATGTAGAGTGACAATCCCTTGTCATATTAGTAAATACTTTTTCCAATAACCATTATTCGGTTAAAATCTCAATAGATATTAAGATAAATAGAATAAAATAAAAGTACATCATTCGTATTACTGTATATAAATTGGCGCAAGAATTTTCTTTTTTGCCTATTTTAGACATCGGCAGTGTACTACACTGCTACCACACGTTTCGGTGAGCGATAAAACCATGGTCACAAAATCCGTCAACAAAAAGCCCCTGTTTCCTCACTATCGCTCTCCCCCTATAAATTCGGCATCCAGTATTTAATTTATCATTAAGTAGATCCACCACAATCAACGATAATCAGCTATAAACTGAACCGATCTTCCCCTGAGTTCTTCATAATTCATATACAATTAAAGCGATCGACAGATTAGGAATGTGCGGTGGCAGTAAGCACGATCACGGCAGGTGTAGATACGAAGCTGCGTTCCACGCCTTTCAGATGCAAAAGCAGCAGCTACATACCCCGTCAGCAGATGTTAAGCGAGATGGTCTAAGACGATATTCCGGCGAGATGCAGCCGGAAACGAAGGATCGGAAGCGAATCAGGGAACTGGTGAAGGCGGAGAAGGTGCTCCACTTGATTTTGTGGGGACCTAACTCCTAAGTCATGATTTCTTATCAGCTTATTATGCGTTTGATCGGGATTATTAGCCGACTTTACTAGTATATAAATTTGGTAGAAATTAAGGAAAGTTGTATTTCAATGAACAATATAATGATATATGCATATAAAAAAGACGATAGGGGCATGTCATATATGTGTATTTCGCAAAGGATATTTTGAAATAAGATAAATTATTGACTATCATCACAAACTCGACTTGTTGTTTTTTTTTTTTTTAATTTTCATTTCAACATTAAAGTTTCGTATCATGAAGCACAAATACTTAATATACAGATGTGTAGCAACTAACTGTTGACATAACTCTAAAACAGCACAAATAGAAAATAAGGGTTAGAGATAGTGGTTCTATAAATAATTGCTTATGGAAATCATATATGGAAAAATAGAAAAATAATGGTTAAAAGAATTGAATTTTTTTGTTAAAAATAGATATTTCTTTAAAAACATTAAGTTGAATAGGTTGCCTTATCTGGGTTGAGCTCCAAACTTTTGGATTTTGGTCGTGAACCTTGACTCATAGCTAACCATGTTATAGGAATGAGTCTGTTATGGATTATGGGCTAATAACTATATCATGTTCAATGCCATTATTTCAAACATAATCTGGTTGTTATTAATTTATCTATTAAGCGATGAATTATTTTGATTTCTGGTGCGAGTAATGGGAACGATTAGTTATTCTTTATATTTTCAAAATAATCATTATATAAGATTAGATGCATCTATTTTGGTTCATGATAACTTTACAATTAGAATAAGAGCACAAAAAAGATATTTGTATGTTTAAAATATGAACTCTAATCAAACAATTAATATTTTTAAAATTAAGAAATTCTAAATATTAACAATCTCTAATATTTTTTTATCTCAATAAAACATTTTATAACGCATTTAATTAGTATAGAACAATCATATTTTGTGACAAAACACTCATTTCATATGTGTCAACAAATCTCAACATAAACAACAATAATATACACTTTTTCTTCATCAAACTGATAGTTTCAAGAAAATTCAAGGAGCCACAAAAACTTATGAACCAGGGGCGAA